TGTGTCAAATAGACTTACTCGACGTTTTCTTAGACATAGAATTCACTTTTACATCTAGTATATCTGTTAATTTTTAAATTTAGAATATATCGGGCACATATTAGGCACAATTTGAAAGCTTAAGAACCTTTTAGTAATAAATAAATACTATGTGACTACACATTTCATGAAACATAAGATGGGTTGATCTTATCCTAAGGTGTTATGAGATATCATCTTTATTTTCCTTTCCCATTGGGTTTTGTTTGCCTCAACGAGAGGTTGTTTTTGTTGTGGTAAACATGATGCTTTAGGTTCTGTGTTTCTGCCCATCTGCAAACATGTTGGTTGCTTGTAAGGTTTTTCTGATGTGCATATTGCAAAACGAAATACATTTGATTTGGTCCTCCTTGCTATTTGCTTGATGCAGGGAAGCGCGAAAAGGCTTGTGAAGGCAGCCCTTCAAGAAGCAGCTAGAAAACGAGAGATGCGATATTCAGATCTCCGAAAGATCGATAAGAAGGTTCGGCGTCATTTTCACGATGACATTAGTGTTATTGTTTTATTTTTCAACCACGACCTCATATCCACAAGCAATGTCCTCCTAGATCAGCCATTATCAGTAAGAAGTGCTCTTGATCATTGATTAAAATTTTTGTTTCTAAATATTAATAAACAGATAGAAAAAAAAAAGAGCCAAATTACAAAAAATACCCTTTAATTTTTCTCTTTGTTTCAAAACTGCCCATTTTCTTTCAATAGTCATGAACTTATCCTCGACCTTTCGTAAATGTTTCATAACATCTTCTTTTGGAGTAGAAATCCTTTAAAACTTTGGATGAAAATTAAGCCTTTCCGTGCCACAACGTTTTAGGTCAAATTCTTACTCCAAAAGTAGTTTTGAAGCATTTATGAAAGATAAGGATAACGTTGCAACTTTTGAAACAATAGGGGTAGTTTTTAAACGAGCGAAATTGTGGAGTACTTTTTATAATTTAGTCGAAAAAGAAAAATAAAAAACCCATGTAATTTTCTCATTAGATACAATCCCATTCCATGATAGAGAGGTTTACTGATAGGAAGAACCGTATTGTGTAACTCGTTGCCAAATATTACACTGCAGCAGACCCTTGTAGAACCCAGATTAGATATTAAAGCTCATCTGTGCTGTTCTTTGCATTCAAGTACAAATTTCAGTAACCCATTTTTTCTGATATTCACTTGTGTTTCTGTGTGTATTTAAGCTTATTTGTTACTTCATTTAAAGATGGGAAATTTCTTTTAGGGGTAATCTTTGTTATGTTCGAAGGGCGTTTAAGCCTTTAATGTTGTGTCGTATAGGTCTCCATTTTTAAGAATATGTCTATTAGGTCGACGAAAACTCAATTTTGTGTATATTAGGTTCGTAAATTTACAGAAAATGTTGGAAAATCAAGAATTCAGAGGCTTATTGGGGTTTCACTCCAAATCGCACAATAAACTCGTGTTTATCGTGGAATTGATGGTAATAATTTTTTTGATTTTTTTTTAATAAAGTTTAGAGGTGTTATGTTGTTTGTTTTAGGTCGTAAGGTATTAATGAAATTTTTTAAAGTTTAAAAGGGTATTTTATATTTTTTTTAAAGGTTAAAAATATTATTAAAACTTTTAAAATTTTAGAGTTAATTTTATTAATTTAGAGGACATTTTTTAATATTTACACATTAAATATAAACAAATTAGATTGATAATTAAAATATATATATATATATATATACGTGTGTGTATATATAGATATATTTTTGGTATAAAAATTTTAATAACTGATTGTATTTAAAGAGAATTATTATGTTTTTTTAATAACGTTGAATAAACAAATACAATTGCTTCCTATGTTTATTTAAGACATTGGTTGATAATGCGCTACAGCTTTGCATATATTTGTAATAATCCTTTCATTTAATATGTATATGTATATATTATTTTAATAAATTTAATTCCTCTAGATGGCGATAGTATTGCAAGTTGCATTTCTATAAAAATACACGCGTGCACATGATTTGATTATTTAATTAATCAATGCTCAAGTGGTAGCAGCATTTCTTATCCATTCCAAATTCAAAACTTCATCATAAATAGATAATATTTTGTTACATTTTTATGTTTATTATTTTCTATATGTATTCTTTTATTTGAGACCGAACGGTTACGTTTATTAAAAAGAAAGTCGATTCGACTACCGATTTGAGTACAACTATTTTTTTTTTACAAAACTTAAGCTACGAGTTCATTCAGACAACTCAGTGAATTGATACTTCGAGACCCAACTAGCTCAAACTTGAACTAACGATAGTTTTCGTTTTTGTAACGACTCTTACCTATGATTCGAAATCCGAATTTGGCATCTAATGGTCCCGGAATTCCCCTGCGATATGATTACGTTACCCACTTCTTACTTCTTAAAAGACTATCCTTCCAGTATGCTTTGTGTTCACTCACATGCATCATAGAAAAATTTCTAGGTCCTATGATTGAGCCATCGAAAAGAAATATGCAGTCTCAGCTCATTCATGTACCCCTCCTTTACTTGGATGTCACATATCACTAGCTTTCGCTATGATTCGTCCTTAAACCATATCTTACGAAGAGAGGCACCGCTCCGGTACCATCTGCAACAATCCATGCACAAGATTCGAAATTCAAATTTGACACCCGATGACTCCGACATTCCCCTGCATCCTTAATGGTGCGGTCGCGTTACTTACTCATTGCTTCTTAAGAGTGAAAACTATTCCCACAAACTTTTATATATTAATTAATAATCCTCCCTTCATGGAACTACAAGCCAAATCTTATCATATAACACACGACAAGCATCATACAAGTTAATTTTTCTCTACAGTAGACTACCTGGGATGACGATGATGACGATTATCTTGAATGCTTTTTTAAGGTTCGTATGGTTTGTCACTTGAGAAGTAACGATGAGTTTCAGTGTCAGAACCTTTTCTGTAATTTTTATAACCTAGATTTTCATCATCATCGTCTGCGTTATTGTTATTGTCGATATTAGTTACAACATCAGCAACAACAACAACTTCGACATCTTCAGGTCCATGCTCATATACACCACTGAACACTTCCGTTTCAGGAGTTGTTTGGCCACCTAAGCTTCGAGCTAGCTTACGTGCATGCTTCTTCTCGACCACGCCGTGCATCGCAGCATCTCCCATCACGAGAAGCAACGAAACAACTAAGAGAAGGAGCACCTTCTTCATCATAATCACCAAAAAAACTGGAAAAAAAAAACAGAGCTTAATTTAGATAAATAAAACCCAAAATTAATGGTTTTAATTAAAAATTACCTTGTTATTTGTTTGGTATTTAAGGATATGGGGTGGAGGAGGACAAAGGGAAACATATATATAAAGGAAAAATTCCAAGCCGCTGTTTTGGACACGTGTAGAGATATATATGGAGGAATAATAATAAAAATAAATAAATATTATATATATATATTTTAAAAATTTTGACGTTGGAGCTGACGGAGTGCAAGTTATTCTTAGTTATAATGTCAACTTAAGTATAATTCAATTGAGTAAAAAATTAACCTCTTAACTAAAATGTCTGAGATTTGAATTCTTACTTACATGTAATATTGTTGAACTTTTCATTATAATCAAAAGATTTAAATCCCGACCATTTGTTATTTCCTCTATGTTATGAGAATCTGTGACACTCGAGTAAAGGAACGGTGCATGAAAGAATCGAGACCACATCCGAAAGAGAGCGATGTACCACAATGAGGAGATTAGATAAGGGGATATACCACGATGCCCACCAAAGAGGTAATTATGATTAAAGCAATTTCCATTGATTTAAGTTTCAACGTTTTAATAATTAAATCATTTAAATTTTCCGAATTGCAATAATTATGAATATATTCTTTTAGATATTAGAGGCTTTTCGCCATTCCAACAATTATGTCCATTTTCTTCGATGGTTCAATTGCTTGTTGATTCAAGTTTTTTTTAACCCATATTTTACAATTTGTTCAGAATTGTCTGCTCATACCACGATAGAATTGTTAGACTATCGCCGGTCTGTCTCCAACTTTCTATTGCGTTTGCTATTAACTCTCGTTTTATCTTCCTTTCATCTCTGAGCCGGAACAAACTAGCTAGGTTCAACTGACCTGAACCTAATAAGATTAAAGTTTTGAGTCATTCACCCGACGTGTTTTTGAACTTATACTCGAATAGTCATAAGTTGGATGAATTTCCAACCATGCTCGGTTTCAAATGAACTTTATTGCAAGACAAATCCGATTTCTCTGTGTAAAAAAAAACAATTCTAACTAACCTCATAAATTTTTGAAGAAAGTCACAAAAAAAAAACAAAAAAAAAAAAAAGGTTAATTTTGGATATAGACTATTACTATTTTGTTTTAAAAATATAAAAAAAAAATATAAAAAGTTTTTACCCTCAATATATAGATTTATATATTGAGACCGTATGCTAAATTATATTTAGATTTTTAAAAAAGATTTAAAGGTGTTAATGAAACTTTTGAAAACTCGAATATTTTTTAAATTCTAAACAAATTATTAATTGCTTGCCTCTAAAATTAAATATTTTTAAAATTCAATGATATTTTTTAGATTTTTTAAAAAATTTAAAGATTTAAACTTAAAAAAAAGGTATGAATAATAAGATAAATGGTAAAGTTTAATGATATTTTATTAATTTAGTTTTTAAAAAAAATTAATATACCTGATGGGTGATCTTAATTTTTTAATAATTCATTATATAATTTTTTTTTTCAAATTATATAATATGTAATTTTCAATTGGAAAGTAAAGAAATATAATTAAAATTCTATACAAAAGTATTAAAGTTTTTTAAAATAATGAATAAAATATTTAATTATATGACTGGAAGTGAAGGGGCAATTAATTTTCAATTTTTAGTCCCTCGTATCAAGAATGCCCCCTATAAAAGCAAAAATTTAGTGAGATTGCATACCGTTATTTTATTTGTTTCATATGTTGCACGATATTCCTTGGCGCCAAAGATTAGGTTCAGAACGTCCGAAAATTTTCCCGCGATATCAAGATGGAGAGAAGGATGAAAGACTCCCAAACTCCGCAGAGAGATCAAGCGGCGAATCGTAGATCAAGGAAACCTCTGAAGGTATGATTGATTTTTATTGGTTATTCTCAATCGCTGTCATTCTCTAGCTTGATTTCTTGTTCGTTCTGCTTCCTTCAACATCGCCAAATGCTTGACTGCCACATTTTCATCACTTTCCGATGATAAAATCCAGCGAAGTTCGAAGCAAGACTTCTCTTCGATTTCTGTTGTCTCAGACGTCAATCAAATTCCAGATATCGATCGAGTAAGTTCCGATTCGATCAGTCCAACTTAACTTTTCATTTCGTTCTTCTATCTATACTTTGTGTTTTCCTGCTTCTTCTGTTTCGTTTATTAGTTGATATCAATTGTTGGAGTAGATTTGTAGTTTATTCATTGATCGAGTTATATTCGTTTTTTTTCTTTCCTCCGTTTATAATCTACTGCGACTGGAGATTCACTTGATGTATTAAATGTAGGCTCAAGCGATGAAACGAGGTATATGAAAGATTTATGACCCTGGAATTTGATAGATTTTAAATGTTGCTAAGTTAGTTTCCTCAATTTCAGAGTTTCTTGCATGATGTTAATCCGGCTCTTTCTGCTTGCTGCGGGAGCTCGCTTATCCCCGATCTTTCTCCATCTTCAGTTGTCACTTTTGATAATGGACAGCTTGACAAGGTTCCAGTTAATTTTTCTGGATCTAATGATTTGGATGAAACTGGCGCGGGTTCAGTAGGAGCAGAGATTGCTGTAAGTTCTTTAAGTCGTGCTCTAACTCAAGTCCTGCAATCCACGGATGTTGATCATCAGGCCAAGAAGCTTATAGATGCATCCATAAGGATCATTGTAGACGATTTCCTTGCTATACCTCAAGATCGAGACCATATTTTTCAAATTATTTCTGCCAAAAATCAAGTTCTCTCTATATCTTTATTCCTGTGGATCATCGTCTTGGCATTAGCTTTCTTTTTCAACTCGGAAGTCAAGAGCTCTTTCATCGGGCCATTGCCAACTTAAACTTGCTGTTCGGCATCAGAGGTCAGATCTTAATTGATTTTGTCGTACTTGTTACCTTCGAAATGGACTTTGCCTATTTCATCTTCCTACATAAGAAACCTAAGCCGTGAAAGTCTGTAATCGAAAGTTAACCGTCCATAACCTCACGGTTAGCGTACTATGATTCAAAGCTATTTGAAATTTTCATAAACTTGTGAGTGACCATTTGACTTCGATCTTTAGTAAACCTTTAGCATTACATTTGACTTCGATCTTTTAGTAAAGCTTTAGCATTACATTTGACTTGGATCTTATAGTAAAACCTTGGCATGCATTACATTTGACTGCTTATTTGTGAGTCTTCACTTTCTTATTTGATTAATTAGCGAATATTTAATGTTGTTTTCACTTTGCAAAGATATATTTTGCATAGAGAACTCAGGGCAATTTGTTTTGATTTCGGAACTATTATGATGCGAGTTAGAGAGGATCCAAACTGCTCTGCATTCTGGAGATGTTGTTGCATTTGATAAAGACTCGAGCCTGATTTGTTAATAAACAACGATTTATGATGAGGCTGATCTTTTTTTTGCATATCATTCCAGCATTGTTGCATATCTTTAGCAACTCCTTCCAGGTGCATTATATGCAAATCAAGTATGCTATTAGAAAAAGCTCAACAGAAGACGATGAACTAAACAATGAAATCATATGACTGATTGAAGAGAACATGTCAGTGGTTGGCACAACCTCATACTGATAATGACAAGATTACTGCCAGCTGAATGTGAATTTAGTAAAAGAAAACGTTTTGGACTTTCCATAGAAGATATAGATTATAATCAGTTTTTTCAGAAGACACGCATTTGTTGCATATTTTTGGCATCTTCTTTCTGGTACATCAACTCAAGTATGCTGTTATAAAATGTATTCTATCTACAAAAGACGATGAGCTAAACAATGAAGTCATATGACTGATTGAAGAGATATCTTAGCGGTTGGCTGGCACACCCTGATACTGGTAATGTCTAGAATAGTGCCAACTGACTGAATATAGTTGGAAAAACGTTTTGGGTTTTTTATTGAAGAACTGGATTGTAGTTAGTTACTGATTCCATCTGGTAACTTGAAATCTGAGTTGATGACTTGTCAGCTACAACCTTGAACAAGTCTCTGGTTTGCTCTTTGATTGTGGTTTGATTTGAACTGCAAGGACTGGATTTGTTACACCAAATGAACATTGTTTAAGGTTTTGATACCTAGGTCAATCCTAGTTCTCTCAATGGCAGGACATTTACATGTTACCTACCGAATGGTAGATAATGATAAGCTGCTGGTCATTTAAGTGACTAATTCTATTCAGTGGCAAAATTAATATCTTTTAATCAGATGGGGTTTGTTCTCTATCCATGATTGAGTAATTTGGGTAATTCCCAGGGAATTCTCTTAACAGGAAACCTTGACCATCTACATATGCCTCATTGAAAAGATTCATTCTGTCCTGAATAGAAACAGATGGGAAGAAGAAAGATGTACTTCCAGGGGATTATGTCCATTGCAAAGGAAATCGAGGAAAGAGGTTAGAATGTATCGTTTTTATTTTCTTTAAATTTTCAATGTTTTCGACATTAATAATATAGATGATGTTTTCTTTTAAAAATTATATTCGTATTTTATAAGAGTATGAGACGTTACGTCGTTACAAGTTTACAATTTTAAGTCACTAAGATCTCATAGGTTGACATTTTAGCAAGGTCTTATTATTATTGCTCCTCACTCCTCACTCACCATTTCTTGTTCTTAAGCTTCAACACACAATCTGTAGCATCACTATTGTATGAGTTTGCTATTAGTAATCACGACTCTCTACAATAGTATGATATTGTCCACTTTAAGCATAAGCTCTCATGGCTTTGTTTTGGGTTTACCCAAAAGGCTTCATACCAATGGAAATTGTATTCCTCACTTATAAATTCATGATCTTCCACTAAATTAACCAATGTGGTACTCACTCCCAGTTATTTTCAACATTTGCTTGCAGGTAGCCGTTGCACTAAATGTGGAGGCAAATGACAATCAGCCCGTGGGGTCCTCATCACCAGGCTTTCTCTCTGATGCTAACGTGCATTATATACATCTTCCAGACCTACATGCATGCAGCTGCCAGGTATGTGTATAGCTCTCTCATATTCATCTTTAATTGATCATTTCCCCCTCCCCAATGTGATTGGTTTTGACATCTTATTTATGATACTTACTTTTGAATCTATTAAACGCTCCAGTCCTCGCTACTTTATTGTGTCTGACACGAAGGGGGCAACCCCTCCTCTAAATCATAATGGCTGTTATAGTAAATTAAACTTTAGCGCTATAATTTAAGGTTTATTTTCGGTGGCTTGTTCTCTTGTGTATTGATTACACATGGTCACAATGATTTCACTAAGAAAGAGGATTAGGTTATATATAATATTCAAGCCTAGAGCGTCATAGCATTATTAGGGCCTATGAAATGAAATTTTGTTGGTGGAATGCTGACAACATGACCACCAACAAGATTGGCTCGCCCGAGAGGTGGGGTCCTGAAAGCCGAATTGGAGAAAATAGTTAAAATTCCTAATAGTTGACACTCTGGTGTTATAAAATGTGTTCGATTCATATTTGGTTATGTTAGAATCTTTCAACAAAATAATAAGAAGACAGTGGGGGTAGCTGTTTGAATTATTGTTTTATTCAGTCTGGTCCAAATTCCAATATTAAAATATTAGGTTTAGATGGCATGTACTTAGATTGGGTAAAGGGATAGTTTAATTAATTAATACATTACTATTTTCTTTTCGAGTCGTAATTTTGATTTTGAGTTTTTATTGTTGGATGAAAGTCACGTCTGCTAATTTAAGGAATGATAATAGGTTTATAATCAAGGAATATTATCTCCATTAGTACGAGATCTTTAGAAAACTCAAAACAAAGTCATGAAAGCTTTACTTAAAGTGGATAATATTATACCATTGTGGAGAGTCGTGTTCATCTAACATCTACCTTGTTATTTGTATTAGTACTATAATAGTTAATAAGTTATAAAATGTTGAAGGGTTAGGTTATTGAAAGTTTAAATTACAAATTTAATTTTTGATTTTTGAGATTTGTATTGGTTAGTCTTGAACATTTAGAAGTAGGGTAAATTTTTAGTTGGGTCTAAATATAAATATATAAATAGATTATTAAAAATTCAAATTTAAAAAAAAAAATTATTTATTAAATAATATTAAAAATAATGAAAGTTTAGAGACTAAAATTATAAAATTTTAATGGTATAATCTATAATTTTTAAAAATAATTAATTTGTTAAATATAAATATAAATTTTATATTCATTGAAATCTTGTATTTTAAATTTTTTATCTAGTAAATTTGATAAATTTTTTTTTTTAAGTTTAGGGATTTTTTATAATTTTAAAAGTTAAATACAAATAGATATCATTTTAAAAATTGAAAACTAAATTTATAATTTAATCTTTAAATTTGTTGATAAGCACGTATGTATTTATGTTTTATTTATGAATTTGTATGTTGTATAAATTAGAATGCAACTGCAAATTAGTTTAGAAATTAAGATTTATGTGGAATTAAAAATTTTCCAATTTTCTAGAGCCAGACACTCCAAAATTAATAAATTGTTAATTAGAGTGAACAAGGAATTATGTGAAGGGAATATGGAGGCAGGGGCATAGCTGTACACACTCCCCATAAAAGTGAGAAAAGTCCAAAAAGCCCACAAAATAATTAAACAAAATAAAACGGAGTTGGAGATAAAAAGACACGGCCAGATAGACGGACCCACATAGCACGTGCACTTTTTAAACTTATTTTCCCTATTTTCTAAAAACTCTCAATATTATTTATCTCTCTCTCTCTTTTTTTTTTTTAACTCTAAATTTTGTGTTATTTTAAAATTTGTTTTAAATATTAAGAATTAAGAAGTCAAAGGCAGATGGCACGTCATCAAGGTATAAATTCTTTAATGCCGCATAACATTTGGTGATGCTTTGTAGGCCGTGTCACCAATAACTGATCAAACCCATAAATCGTTATCATCTAGATGGGTGGGGGACTAAAGAACTCAAATAAGGACACCTATTAACAATGCAAACAAACGTGTTCAAACAAAAAACAATAATCAACTAATTCATTTGATTTTTTTTTATGTTTGTTTAATTAATTAAAATATTATTATTTAGATGAAAGAAAAAAAAAGTAGAAGTCAAATCACGGGACGGTTCGTCCATTCACGACCAAGAAACACTGGATTCTCTTTTGGGTAGGCCCTAAAAGGAGAAGGAAGACTAGAATGCCAATAGATGTCTATTATTGAATTCACCCGACCCGATAGTATTCCATTTTTGAAACGTCCAGTGCCAAAATTACTGAATGGGTAAGTCGCCTGACTGACTTTTCCTTTCTCTTTTTTTTTTTTCGGGAGAATGGCGCTGCTCAAAACAAGGGACAAAAACAAAATCACAAGCTTCTGATAAAAAACGAGTAAGAAAACGCGAAGCGTTCTCTTGGTTATCGTTTTTAGGTTTTTCTTTTAGGGTTTCTATCAGAATTTTAAAAATGAGTCATTCACAACCAATATGTAATGTCACAAAAATCACAAAAATACCTTCCTTTAGGTCGGAAGAATCTCCATTTCTACCCAAAATAAACAAATAAATTAATAATAATATGAAAGAAAAAGAAATCCACTTTAACGATGACACAACTTTGTTTTGATTTTAATTACAAGAACATTCTCAAAAGCTTTGGTGACATATTTTTTAAACAATTAAAATACATTTTAGGTTAATCTTAGTGGAAGTTGTGGAAACTATATGTTATTTAATTAAAATTGATATCTTACGTAGCCAGTAAGGAATCGAAGCTGATATTTATAGGAATGAAGGTGAAGGGGCAAAAAGGCAATCATTCGCTACAGGAATCGCAATACATTAAAGACTCAAAGGTGCCAAAAGGTTAGCTCTGCACTCCCACTCCCACATAATTCCATATGATTTTCAACTTTTTCTGCCATCGACTATGTTGGTTCTTGGTTTACCTTTCATAAAGCAATTAAAGATCGCCACAGAAAAGTATATTAATTCCACCGTCACATCAATAATTTTTTTTTTCTTTTTCCTTTTTATACTCAATATTTATTTTCTAATTTTTTATTTTTTTTTATTTTGAATTCTTATTTATAAAATTTTATCATAAATGGAATAGAATCACTTATATTATTGATTTATTTTGTTTTTTCCTAACAACATTTTGCAATTTTCTTTATTTCGATTCCGAGGGTAAGAAATTTCATAAACTGGTTTTTTTTTTTTTTTTTTTTTAATCTTTTG